GAATTGGGTTGATTCCAGTATGGGTTTGGTGTTAAGAATAGTCTGTCGGTTTGAATAAGATTTCCCCTTTTTTCCATCAACTTTCTAAACAAGCGAACCGGACACATTTGTGGATTTTCGAAATTTCTAATCAACCATTTACTATCCGACAGTTTTTTAGAACCACCTTGTGTGGTTTTAGAGAAAATTGGATTATATTCTATCCGACCTTTTGGGTTTCCGAAATTATCAGTTTCTTCTTTGAAGTATTGGATACAAGCAGAATGTCCTTCCCCTCCTCTCCATGCCAGCTCATGTGAAACTATGTGAAAAAATTTACGCTGCAACCCATCTGGAGTATTTTCATCCCACATTTCAATAATTTTTTTGTATTCGTCACTGGTTAAGGCTGAAGCACTCACTTTTCTTTTTGCTGAATCTCTCTGTAGTATTTTGCGCTTAGCATCGCGTGCAGCTCTGGCGGTCACAAATTCCACATCAGAAAACGGATTAAATTTTATTTTATATTTTTCGTAATAAATTTCTTGCAACTGCTTAGCAGTAGAGTTCCACATCACTTTGACCACACTTTCCTTATAATCTTCAAAATTTTTCTTTTTCATATTAAATGCGTAGTCCTCCAGTATAGTAGCCAGCTGTACTACACTCATACACTCATGAATATTATACGACTTTTCATCACAAAATTCAACAAACTGTTTCCATACACTTGATTTTGATTTTCGGGTGTTATCTGGTTTTATATTTTCAATTTCTTCTTTAATGACTTGTTGGTTTATTTTTCCAAATCGCGACATTTCGCTATACACTTCTTACTCTACGTACAGACGTTTTAAAACTAGTAATAGCTTAATGACAGAATCGGGATATATAAATCCGGACATTTTTTCTCGCTCATGAATATTTTTAGAAAATTATCCCTCGTCTTCGACTCGGGATAATTTTCAAAATATTCATGGGCTCGAAAAAATTTCCGGAAATAATTTGACCTCTAGTGGTATTACTAGTGAAAATTCCACACCTGTAATTTTTAACCAATCAAAACGTGTTTTTTTGACAAATCACCATGGCAACGGATACATTTTAGTGAAAATTTTTTCCTTGTGGGCACCCAACAGCGAATTATACTGTTAATTTTTTGGCGTTTATGACAGAATATCTTTTTGAGAGTCTGGTTTTTATTTGTTTACATGATAATTTTGATACATTTCAATTACAAAGCTGAGATGAAAGTTTGTAAACTGCTTCCATACGCTTGACTTCGATTTCCTAGTATTCGCGGGTGTCAACTGCTTAATCTCCTGGCGAATATTTTCTTTGTTTTCATGATCGAAACGGAACATTTTTTTTAAGCCGTGCCGCTTGACAGCTTCAAAACTGAAATAGTTTTTAGGCATAGATAAATGAAACAAGTTTAGATTGGAAAGTGCCCATAAGGACAATGTAAACACTATTTGGCGCTATTCTTGCAACGGTCGCGACCCAAAACTTTTGAAAATTTCGGAGCGGTTCGGCTTTTTCCGGAATTATATCGCCAAATATTGTTTGTTCAAATTTATTATTTTTGTTTAATTTTATAAATAAAATACAGTGTGTTGCATCCAAGAAAGTTTATTTTATATAAGGACGCATGTATGAAATACCTATGAAACATTGGAAACTGACGTTATGCCCCGATCCACGATGGTTTTTGCAGTTCACAGTTCACAGCACAGCTTTATAAGTTTTTACTGCCACTTTTTCACAATTATCACCGGTTGGAGTAAATAAAACTTGAATTAAACTCACAAAATAGCAATAATTACTTTGCAAATGGACGTTATAAACACTTTCCGGAATTTCTTTAATGAGAGCGGTTTAGATTTTGAAAGATTATTATGATTTTTGAAGATTCTGACTTTGACAAGAGAAAATTATTTCTGTTTTTGTTTGCCGTTGTTCCTAGCGACCGCTATAGCAGCGCCAGATCGCAAATAACGGTCGCGACCCAAAATAATTTCGGAACCTAAAATTTTTACGGGCTTTCCAATTGTTCCAATCTAAACTTGTTGCATTTATCTATGTTTTTAGGTTTGGGTGTCACTTAGTTGTCATAGTAACTAAATAATCAATTCGACCAAAAATCGAAAAATACATTTTAATTATTTGATTTTCAAACACAATTTGGTGTGGAATTTTCTTACCGAATACCACACGAGGCCAAATTAAATCCGGACATTTTTTCTCGCTCATGAATATTTTCAAAATTATCCCGAGTCGAAGACGACCAAACCAAACCAAACCAAACCCGAAAAAAATTCCGGAAATAATTTGACCTCTAGTGGTATTACTAGTGAAAGTTATTACCACACATAGCACTACTAGTGCTAGGAATGGAGAAACTACCAGTTGGAGCAATGGGGAAAGTAGTGTAATTTAGGCGTAATGATATTATCTTTGTAGATACGATAGTGTTTTCTCTGTGTATATTTTTAACACAATTTGCTGTTATTAGGCACTATTGTAAACTGAGTTGGGAAAGAATAATAACTTAGCTAATACAACAATTGTGTGTGTCTATGTTTACTAAAATCTAAGTACAAATGAAACAGAAAAAAGTGACGGTAATATTCTCAGGTTATCCCCAAAACCCTTTTTTGGACTAACAATAGTTACATTTTTGCATTACATTATGGGTAGTTCCTTGATTTCAAATACTAACAACAAATCCATGTACGAAAAAATTGAACAAAACGTAAAGCCAAAAATACGCAAATTTCCACTCGGACCCCTTCTCACAATTTCACCCGGGCTCCTCTGGGCGACGATATCCATTTTACAGGAATTTTTTAGTTTTCTTAATCTGTTGAGTATAATTAATATAATAATAATTGAATATAGCAAACGATGTCCAAATAATAACGCAACCATAATATATTTTGTATATTTACATAGTATTTGGCAACATCAGTTTCCTCTGTAATGGTCAGTTTTGTGACATCGTCAGTTTTTCCTCTTACCCTTCATATGATTTTTCAATTCTGAGTTATGAATTATTATCGATACAGGAACACTGGCAAAAAGAACATAATTGTAAAATCGGAAAGACAGATTGTTTCTTTGTAATTTATCTATTGCGACAAAGATAGAATTGACTAAGTTTTTTCCTCATATTTCATCGTTATCGTTTCCTCATCACCTTCATTTTTCATCTCCAACGAAACCTTCTAAACGGTCAGCAAGCGAATTCTATCAGAATAATGGCAATATAAACCAAAAATGTATTAAAAATAGCAAATTATGCTTTATTTACGGAAAAAAAAATTAAACATTTTTTTAACAGAATTCTAAAAATTAATACAATACTGAAACTATCAAACTAAAAAAACTACAAGTAGTTAAAAATATAAGAGATACGCTTCAGAATATTAAGATGGTTTATATTATGATGAAATGGTTTAGTAAAAAAAATCGCAAAATAAAACACTAATTCGCCACAATACACCAAAACACTTTAATTCTGCACTGAACGCGCGTTTCGCTAATCAGCAGATGAAGACTTAGGTAACAGTCTTAGTTTTATTTTGCTGTTGTAACACCAAAGGGTCAACCATCAACTGTAATAGAAAAAAATGGTGCAAATATACCGGACGTAGATAAATGCACCTAAACTCACTGTCAGGATAAACTACAAATTTGATTTGCTTTGTTATAAAAAGTTGATAATGATGATGACTGAAGTATTCACCGATCTTGAATAGTGTTGTGAGTGTCCGCCGTATATACTCCTGACGATTTCCTACTGAAATAGTGATTTGGTATGAGCGCTATAAACTTTTGCTATAGTATACTATTTCTGGTCCCCCCTTGGTTGCGCTCCATATTCATCTCGGCGCTGTTGCCGCTACCATCACAACATTGCAGCGAGGTTGTCGCTTTTAGGCACCTAAACCACGTGGTGTGCGAAGCCGAGGGCTAACCTTTCCATCGGTACGCAGCTCGCGACTGGGCTCGACCCTGCGACACGCCGTCTGCCCAGTCTGGCTCGCGTTTCTGCGAGGAGTCACACATACGTCGGACCAGACCAAACCAGACGGACGGTGATCGAAAATCGGAAGAATGGAGCCAGGGGATTCCGGAGTCGCCTACCGCTGTGGCTGGCGCCGTCGGCAGAATGCAAGGCAAGGACGGGAGGTGTCGACGTCATCGACGACGCGCGGTGTGTACACACTCGCGGCCGTCGTGTACCACGAGCTAGAGTGTGAATAAACTCTCGAGTCGGCTTGGAATAGATAGCCGGTTACGGAGAAAGAGAGAGATATGAGTGTATATCATAGACTTAGAATAAAATATAGACTGAGCATCTCATTCATAAATAGCTGGAAGATGCGGACAGACAACGTCTTGTTATTGTTGTGTTATTGTTTTTGGCTCTAACGAGTGCGACACGAGCGATAGATAGGCTGTCTCCGTCGTAACGGTCGTTTCCTGACGGCTCTGCCGCCCAACGCAACACTGTCCTTTGTTTCTTCAGTGCACCTGCACTCTCCGTATCATAGGCGGGTATTTTTTTTAATTTTAATGAAGCTATAATTCAATTAAAAATATATCGTATTTAAACTTTTTTATATTATTAGGATTTAGGATAAAGAAAATAGTTTAATATAAAGCAAAGTTTAGGACTTAGAAAAAAAATACGTCTTAGAGTCTAAAAACGATAAAAATAATAAAGTACGTGTTATAGAAGAAATTTTAATAATCGAAATTATTTAATTTTTGAAATTGATGATAAATTATTAATTTAATAAAATATTAATTTTAGTCAAACATTTACAACTCTAATATTAATCAAAACAGGATCTATTCTATAGATATAATAGAACAGAAAGAGAAAAAACTTTATAATTGTTTAATTTTTTTTTCCGGTAAAAGTGATGTCTTATTATGTAAATTAGAAAAAACAGGAATCTGTTCCATTAAAGCAAGCTTTTAGGAAGTGAATAAAATGAAAACTACATTTATTTAACTCGTTACTGTCTTTATTATAGAGTAAGTATAATAATGGTAATGGTGACTATACTTTATTCAATGGAAATATGCACCAAATTCAAACAAATATAAAAGGCATGAGTATAAACAGTATTACTACAGTAATATTGAACATTGGTTCAAAAATATTACATTAATATAATACAATATTACTGTAGGTATTACTGTCAACGTGCAAGCTTGTTTGAAGCTTGATGTATTTGTATGCGCTTGGTACATCTTGGCGTTGGAAAATGTATAGAAAATTATTAAGAAAAACTAGTACGTAATGGGGGATATCTTGATATACAGAGTGGTCGGAATTGTATTCAGGAAACTTTGGCAGCATAATCTGCAAATAAAATCAGTAAAAAAAATAGTATAAATTTATGTCCTAAAATGCTTCGTTTCAGAGATACAGAGTGTAGAAATTTCATTTTTATTTCGCTTTTTTCCAAATAATTTATGAAGAATGTATTGATTAATTCGTTTCCAAATATCTTGAGAACTATACTTGTGGCGAGTGTCAACAAGAGACCTTATTAAGTAAAAAACGTTGGAAATGTAAATTTTTCTCAGTAGTTTTATATAGATACAGACAAAAAGTATTACTCTTCAAATAACTTAAAAAATATGTAGGTGGCGCCCCCTATTAGTAAAAGTCAAATTGACATCTAAATCTAATTTTTCATGTCAAAAAACTCCCAAACGCCAATTTTCGTCCAAATATTGACGTCACTTCAGAAATTATTTGGAAAAAAATCGAAATAAAAATGAAACTTCTACACCCTGTATCTCCGAAACGAAGCATTTTAAAAACTTACAAGTTCATTTTTTTAGAAAGCCAATGCAACATTTCTGAGTTTCAAATAAAGATAAAAAACAGTAAAACATATAATAATAATATGTAAATTATTTTCTTGGATACATACATATATGGCAAATAATAACAGATTGTTTTATTAAAGATTTACGTTTTGGTTAATTCTAAAACTATCTTCAGATTATATGTGATATTACTTAAGTGATATTACATTATAAAAGAAAAAATGAAAATTATACCTTATAATCGAAAAAAAACGGCGTCAGCGATGGCTATGAAATGAAGATCGCTGTCATTTTATATGTAAAATTATATGGAGTATGTATCGATGGTTTTTTCCAAGCCAACTGGACGCCGTTTTTTTCGATCATACGGTATTACAAATTAATAATAGATTAACAGTCGAGAAAAAAAAAGAAAAAACTCTAGGTAAGTACTGGATAAATTTTAAAATGGCATATTTATTTTATCTTTGTTTAATATAAAAAAAACGAAATATCTACCTGGTTTACATAACCCTGTATAATTTGTGAAATAATAATGGACAAAAATGCAAGCGGTAAGAAAAATATTTACAAAAAATATGTACTTGTTTACATTTCTGGACCATTGTTCGTCATTTTTGTTATCATAATGGTGACCCTATCATAAAAACGTAGTTATTTCTATACCTGATGTGAAACTATAGGGAAAAAGTAATGTTTGTAAAATATTTTAGTCTTGAAAAAAAATAAGGAATGTTTGGTATTTTAAAATGTTTGGTAGCTTGTAATTTTTTCGACTTTCTCGATTGTTTATAGTTTATAATAAGCCTTAAAAATTGTTGTTTCATAATGGAATATCATTCTGGAATTCCTGTATGTTATTTTAGATTCTAAGGATGGTTTTAGAATAAAAAGAAACACATTTTTCATAAAAAAAAGCATTAAATTAACCAATGCCCAAGAAAATAATGTGTCTACTTCTTATGTACTTAATAATGTATCTACTCGTTATATTAATAACGAGGTTAGTAAGAACCTTTACGTAAATGATAAATATAAAAAATACAGATTTTCCAGGGTTTATAATTTACTAAATTATTATCTAAATAAGCGCCTTTCTACAACGCCACTGACGCCAAAATAGTAAATTTGACTTACCTGTGGAATGTTGTTCCAGGACTTAAATAGTCCAATTTCTTACAAATTTGGCACTGACGAACCATGTTTTATAGTTTTTAAATAAAATAATCAAAATAAACACTAAACCGACACTACACACTAAGAAAATCGAATCCAAAAAATACAAAATCAAAACATCCAATAAAAACAATAAAATAGCCATGGAGAAACTGTGACAACAAGGTTTTACGACACGTGCTTTACTCTACTATGGCTCTACTACGAGAGAATAAAGAATGAACAGGCGACCCGGCGATTGATGGGTGTTGCCAAATTGTAAAGAATTTGTCATTTTAAATAGTCTCCGACTTATAATTTAGTAGTATAGGGACTATTTAATACATCTTTCTACTATTAAACACTACTTTATTAAAATACAGTTTTAATATCTCAATATATGTGTATAACAACAAAAAAAATATTAATAATATTTTAGACGTGACAACATAGGCTGGAGGCGAAAGACTCAGACGGCCGAGGTCAGCTGCACCCAGGAGTAAACATGTTTACAAAAATTAATATTGGACCGCGCTTAAATGTAAATAGTGTAGTCTATATTTTATTCTAAGTCTATGGTGTATATTATATTGAGTAGATAACATTAGAAAGCGACGCGACACGAGCTACGTTCACGTATCCGTTCGATGAATGAAATAAAACATTACAGGAACATGTTTCTATATCGTATTTTAACTTAGAGTAAATCCCACTTTGTAGACCCTCCACCACTGCATATATCAGATATAAAATCCCAAATTAGACTTCACTCTCTATACTTAAATCTCTTAATCATCACATCATCATATGCAGCTTTATCCTATCATTACTTTCCGTAATGTTTTCTTCCATATTCTTCTTTCATTGTAGATGTTTGAGGTCATTTTATTCCTGCTCGTTTCGTGATGCGTAGTCCCATCTTAGATCGACGTCTCTTTAATATTTTACGCCTCTGGGGTCAAGTAATTCCAAAATCAGTTGAACTGCTTTGGGATTCTTAATATTTTTGCGCAACGGAAGTTCCAAAATTAAGAGACCAACAGATTCCAATTGACTTTAGAAATACTATAATTAGAAAGATTTAATTCTGTAGATCGTGTCTTGTACATTTTATCGTGTTGAGACTCTTGAGTTTATTTTTGCTATTCCAAGGACACATCGCTCCACCTTGGAAACACCCTCAAAAGGAAAATTCCCCTCCTCCAACTTCCAGTGGATGCCATACCAAGATAGTATAACTTCAAGCAACACCTCAATGTAGTATCGAGCAATAAAAAAAATTGGAAGAGAGAAACATATGCTCAATAGGTAAAAGACCATACCATACATACTGATGCTTTCAAAACCAAAGCAGGTATAGGTACAGGGGTATTTGGACCGAAAACTAAATACTCCGAATCAATGGACACCTACTCCAACATGCTTCAAGCAGAAATCTACGCTATCGATTCATACAACTTACCTTAGATAGGAGCTAACGGAAACAAGAAATAGCTATCTTATACGATAGTATAATCACACACTTTGTATACATCACTATGAAGTTGGTCAAAAAATGCCTAGAGAAGCTGATCAAATTAGACAAAGATAATAAAATCTTCCTATTCTGGGTGCCAGTCCATCAAGAAATAGAGGGCAATGAAAAACCAAACGATCTAGCTAGAAAATGAGCACTGAACCAGAACCGTTTTGCGTCTCAAGTGGAAACCAACTTAAAGCGGAACTTAAGAACCTGGAAGACTCCTGGAACCTGGAATGGGAATCCTCCAACGGTCTAAGATACTCGAAGAAATATCTCAGAACTTTCGACCGAGAAAAATCAAAGAATCTCCTTGATTCGGAATCTTCGGATTGTCACGGGGTTTTTAACAGGACAATGTCTCCTCAATGAACACCTCAGTAGATTGAATCTAAGAAACAACGGAGAAAGCAGATTAGGTAGGGAAAATGGGGAAACACCAGAACACCTCATCACTCGGTGTACGAAGAGGGCAACTATATTCGTGCCATGAACTTTGATACGACTGATATCGGAGATGGAAAACCAACCACTGTAAATCCGTGTCAGATACTAGCTTTTGTCAAAGACTGTATGATGAGTAAAATAACCCCTCAAGAAAGAGGGATACATATATTTGTAAGGTCGCGGTGATTAACCCCCTCCCATACATTCTACATCGTTCCACAAAACATACGCCATTTTTGATAGCATTGAAGAGTTCTCTAATTATGTGTCTGGATAATGTTAGATCTGATTGAGCCTTGATTGAGCACATTATGCCTAGTCTGTCTACCACATACGTCAAATTCACGCAATTCAGTTCTGTGTTCTGTATCTAACTATGTACTATTTATCATAGCGAGCACTACCAATAAAAACTGACCTCTAAATGTTGTTTACCGCGTATACAGAAAGTTTCTAAACTTGGGGAACTAGTCAATAGCCATACTGACAAAGCCTTCCTCGATGAATCAAGTCCTAAAAGCTAGAACATTTTTAGAGAAGATTAGAACAAAACTAATTGTCCCATAAATTTATACATAGTTTCCTAATCTAAATTATTTAATATAAATTAATACACAGTAATATTAATGGATCTTCGGCACTATCAAACGCAGTGGCGTGCATACAATACAGACAAAAAGGCGTCGTATATTTCCCGTAAAGGCGCTCCATATGATTTATGAGAAGGTGGAATGATTTACTTTATATGGTCTCTAATGGGATATTAAAAGGCTGGGAATTTGCGAATCGTCGATGCACTCTGCAGCCGTAATGACTGAAAGGACAATGTGTAAGAGAGAAATAGAATAAGAAAGCAACGCGTGATTATCCCGCGCAGTGATGCCAAATGTGGGGATAACTACTATTATGTTGTAAATTCGCCCAATTTAGAGTCAAAAATAATTATATTGATCACTTAAATTAGTAACTTATGTTAAGTGTTATTTTCATAAGGTTTGTCTACATTTGGTTACTTACCTCAAATAAATCTGCTTCAATGCTACAGATCCATTGACGGTGTTCGTGGGCACATTAAAATGAGGCAAAAAATCAGACCAGCTGTTTTTCGAGTTAACCTAAAACAAAAATAACACTCGTATTAGTAACAAATTAAATTAATTAAACAAAATAAAATATGTATCTTTTTATAATCTATCATCGTTAAAAAAATTTTTAATTTTATTTTCAATTCATAATGTTGTAGCAAATCAAAATATCAAAAATTAAAATCGTAAGGCTATGCGATAAGATAACCAAATAGATTATGTTGTAAATATATTTTATAATACATTAATGAAGGAATTACCAAAATAACATAAATGAAGGTAATATAAACGAATGAAACTAAATCATAAAATATGATGGAATAGTAATTTGTCTAAGAAACTTTGTCATCAAATCTCCGTGAGGTATACTCTGTTTTTTTTCTCAGGTAAGATTTCGACAGACGATGACAGAAGAAAAGCAGATGACGTCCCATACCAATCTATTTATTTTACTAAAAAAAGTTTCTAGTAATTTTTAAGTTATCTATGGATGGGTTTAAATATAAATCCGTCATGCGTCGTGTCTTGTTTTTAACCAGTTTTATTGGTTTATTTAAAAAATGACAGATCGTATTTCAATTTTATTGGTTTGACGGAACGATGAACGACAAACGAACGCCGATGCGTATGAACTCGCCTTTAGATTTTTGTCATTTTTGACGCTTGTCAAAGTCTTGCCAAATTATAGGTTACAATTTTGTGTCAACTTTTGTTAAATACTTTGCGTTTTGGAAGATGATGCATTTTGATTCGTATTATTACGTGTGTTTTGTGTCTTTTGAAGTCAAGTGGAGGAAAAATCGAGTGAAAATTAACTGTAGACCCAGAGCACAGTTTATGGTTAATACTCGCTGCCCAGGCAGAAAGTCTTATACACCAATGAAGTTGCCATCGATAAAGTTTGTATACCATTTCGTCGTAGATAAGTGCATCTCGTATATGGTAGAAAGGATCAAACTAAACACATACTAAAAACTGGAGTAGCTGTAAAATATCGACATCACACGATAGGTAAATAATGGATTTTAGTACTGCAGAAAAATAATGTCAAAAGGTAAAAAAATTAAGATTAAAGTTAATTAATCAACCTTTAAGGTATAAAATTTGGTAGGTGTTATTATTAATAAAATAGTTTGTTTTATTTACCTATGTTGTTTTATTTATTCCTGTGGAATATTACAAATTTGTATTTGTACATAAGTTATATTGATAAATATAATCATAAATGCGGGTAGTTTCATAAAGCTTGAAAGTAAATAATAGTTATTTTTTATATTTTTTTGGTATGTAGTGTCTTGTTCTTGTTTGTTTTGTATTAACACATACCGTTTTTATTAAATAAAATAACTCGATTACATTTTTTTTCAGTTTTATACAGTTTTTTTCACAATATTTTGAAGTAATCACTTGTCATCTTGTCAATCAAATTTTAAATATATCCTGCTATGCGTTCCAATTGTACCAACTTATTTCTTTGTAAAATAAAATAAACTACTTTGAAATTAAAATGACAGACACATCTATCACTGTCAAGGATCTTCTCATTGGACAGACTATACCTCCTAGCTTCTCACTATGTATTTATCCTGCGTTGCCACGCTGTAAGATAAAATATAGTTACTGATGGGGTCCCACAGGCAGTAGGTTTACAGAAATTGCAAGTCTCTAGGCTTTTAATAATTATTCTTCTAAAAGAGAAAAGGACAGAAAAAGAAGAAGAAAAGGAAAGGGAGAAGAAAGAGAAAAAACAAGAGCACTCATATTCAAGACGGTCAATTATCCTTCGTCGTTTTCAACGATCAACAATTTCGATTTTCCTATCACAATTTACGAATTTACTCATCATCAATTAATCATCATCATTCTCAGCTTATTCAACCTTTTCCAATTATGGGGTGTAGCCTCCCTTACATACTCTCTTTGTAGTTGGGCCCATTGTTGTCTATTGTTGACTATGCGGGCCCAAGTTATCCTAGCTAATTTTCTAATATCATGATCCCATCTCAGGTTTGATCTTCCTCTCAATTCCTCGTGGGTACCATGCTGTAATTTTTGTTGTCCATCTGTTGTCCGTCCTTGCCAGGTGTCTTGCCCATTGTGTCACTTGAGGGATTTCATTCTGTGGATGACATCTATTACCTGAGTCTTTTCTCATATCCATTTTATTCTTTTAAGTACAATTTCTAGCATATTTCATTCCATTAAGCGCTGTGCGACCTGCAATTTCCTTATAATGTCCGTTTTAAGTGTCCAGGTTTCGCATGCATAGGTCATGACTGATAGCACACATTGCTCGAATGTTTTCGTGAATGTAATACCACAAGATAATACTTTTACCCGACACGAAATGCGCTACCCGACAACACTACGACTCCGAAGTAGGAAGACCGCATTGAGTATCGCAAAAGATTATACAACGAAATAAAGTAATTAGTAATTTCTTGTGCCATTTTGTAATAATAATTGACGGGATATTTTGTGGAACTGACAATTACAATATGGCCACCAAGCGATAATCACTTAAATGATTGTCACTTATTAATCACACCCTTCTATACCGGGTGCGTCTCAAAAGTGGCTCACCACTATAACTTTTTTATTTTTCCAGATAAAAAACGAGATTTGGAATATTAGTATATGACATAAATTAGTTTTTGGTCACTTCCTGTTTCACCGGAAATGACTACAACTTTTGATTTTTAAATGGCACCATCGGTATTTTTTACTTTATTTTATAGAAAATGATATTCTGAATAGAATGACATATCATATGTCAACTTTTGACATTCTCGCTTAATAAAAAATTTATTTTAAATTTCAATCTAGAGTGGCTATGTTAAAAACACTAATCCTCAGTCAAGGAGCCTTGGAAAAATATATTTGATCGTCTAATGTTGTTAGTGTCTTGTCCTGGCCGATTAAAAAATGCCCAAATCGTATTTTTAATCATATCTCAATCTTTTGAAATGGAACTAGGGTGGCTCATTAGCATATTTGAAAAAAGTATTTTTCTACCAATAATTCGATAACAAACACTTGGTATTTCAAGTCAAATTTTCGTTACGAACAGCAAGTTATAATTTCAAATAAACCATATATGCGAAAATGTCAAAAGTTGACATATGATATGTCATTCTTTTCAGAGTGTTATTGTCTATCGAATAAAGTAAAAAAAACACCGTGATTGCCATTTAAAAATCAAAAGTTGTAGTCATTTCCGGTGAAACAGGAAGTGACCGAAAACAATTGAATATGTCAATCAATCCCAATTTATGTCATATAGGTACTAAAATACCAAATCTCGTTTTTTTACCTGAAATAATAAAAAAGTTATAGGGGTGAGCCACTTTTGAGACGCACCCGGAATAGGAAAAATATACATAGATTCTATAATCTTCTATACATTTACATAATTCTACAAAATTTTGCCCTATTTTTAAATTTATTTTCGTATAATTTTACAACGAACTAAATATTTTAAATGGATGGCTACATCATAACCCATCCCTCCGATAAATCTAAACAAACAAAATACCAAAATACATTTGCGATAAACGAGCTGAAAATCCGCAACGTAATGTACTTTATCGGTCCAAAAATACGCGCGACCTCCGGATAATTATTACCTAATACCGTAGAAAGAGACACGATAGGGGTCGGTAATAATAGTAGACAAAGACAGATGATCAGGAGAACGTCGTAGAGCGGATCGGGTTCAGCGACCCGAAAAACAAGGAAAAACGCCAAGCAGTTGATTCAGTCACAGATGCAGTGTTGAACGCCACAGCGTTGCCAGTTTTAATCATCTTTATATGGTCCTTCGAAATAAAAGTAAAAAAGTACAGGATTTTACGTTTTAGTTGATTTAAAAAAATTCCGACCGCAGCGCTGTATACGGCAGAAATCTGAAATGCTTGCTATGTATTTGGAAAAAATGTTAACGCGTAAAGAAGAGCTTAATTTAGGGCGTTGTTGGGTGCAATAACCATTCAATAACTCAACTTTCCCGGATATTCTCCCGAAACAACATTTTATAGTTTCATAGTATCTCATACCAATTTGATCAAAAGCAAAAACGGATTCAAACAGTTCGACGAAACAAGTGAGTAAACAAAGTGCTCATTATATAATCAAAAAATTAAATAGACATCCTATGAGAAGAGAGAAGATAAAATATAATTTGCATTATTAATGGTATAATTTTTTTAATCAACTAGTGATTAATCTTCTGAAATTATAATTATGTACCTTTTAAAAATTTCGTTATAATCGAACCTGTGATGCTGGAAGTAGATACACACTCGCCGAGGCGACCCGAGGCGCGACAAGAAATTAGCGATATACATGCAGTTATTGGTTAGAACCGTCCTTTTTTGTCTCGGCGAGTGTGTACTTCCAGCATAAAACTAGGCTCGCTACCGTAGTTGAACTCATTTAAAATGTTTTTTTAGCCTGGAAAAATAAATTATAATACAAGTTAGACCTTTTGAAGATATCGAAATACATATTTACTTTTTAATTTTTATTTTTAGAATTTTCACAAATTATACTTCCTAATACTTTTAGAATAATTAAATAATAAATTTTTCGTATACTCGCTATTTAAACCCGTGTATTTGTATATGCTAGATTTTTACAATGGTGGCAGCACCGGCGGAGAACGCACCAAGCCTATTTTACTTCCAAATTTCTACTGTCTACTGCTCAATTTTGGGCGGGGTCTACTATGTTTTCGAGGATGGTGTACAACGATCTTTAGCCATGTAACGGTCTTACATAGTAGAGGCACCGGTAGATGCCAACAATAAGTATAGTTGACGTTAACCTGGGATAACCTACCCCAAGACGAATTCACGAGTGTGTAGAGCATCACCAGAATATTAACATTAAGGTAGAATATTTCAGTTTTTATGAGACGTTTTGGGTGTAAATTCTAATCAGTAACTACTTAGTGGTAGGTCAATCTGTCAAACTATAGTGAAAATTAAGGCACTCCATAAGTGTTGCATTGTAGCGTAACATTAATCTTC